ATATACACACACACACACACATAAATACATAAAGTAAACTGATGCTGCCTTTAGCAGGTGAGATTATATAGGTCTTATTTGCTTCTCTACATTTTTCTGCTTTTTCAAAACCTTTTTTTTTAATAATAATTAAAGGTAATTAACAAAACTAAAGCCCAAGGGCTTATAGAAAATGGTAATAGAATGCGATTACTCAGATAAAAAGGTAATATAAAATTTGGTTCTATGATCTTTTCTGTAAAAAATCCTTCATTAGTGAAAACAGCTAATGTTCATGGTTTAAACATGAGTGCTGGCATATTCATTTACTAATTTTTAATAAATGAAGGGAAAAGAATCTGGAAAACATTATAGTATCACTTTATTTGTATAAGACTAGGTATAACAGTTGTGATAATATTTAAAATTTTTCATAAATCCTTTTGAAAAACATGTTGACTTTAGTTTGGATATCAAGTTTGATGTTTTTATATCTATACTGTTACTTTCTTTTTAGAAGATATAAAGTATTTGTTTCATAATCTTAGCCTAGCATCAACATTACCTTCTTGCCTACATGTCATATCATGTGAAGCTTTCTATGTGTTTTTATTTAGGCACACAATGATAAACTGGTGTAGTGAGGAACATAAATTCTCGTTAACCCTGGGATTTCAGATTTACCTGTGTCTTTTGATTTTGTTCCTTCTTTTCCTGCAGTTTAATAAAGGAGCTAAGCCATGTAAGTCAAATAAATGGGGAGCCTTCCCTATTCACCAGACTGCATTTTCAGGTGCCAAGAAATGCATGGAAATTGTATTGAAGTTTGGTGAGTGGAAACTTTCCTATGTTATGTATTACCAAAAAGCCTTTGTGGTGTGTTCTATTAATTCAAAAACTATTTAGTAGAATTTACACATAGGATTTTATGTAATCTAAAAGGTCCTTTCTTTTTAATAATCCCTACTATTTTCCTTGAATTCTTATTATCTTAATATTTATTTTTTCTAAAGGTGAAGAACGTGGATATAGTAGACAGTCTCACATTAACTTTGTGAATAATAGGAAAGCCAGCCCTCTCCACATGGCTGTTCAAGGTGGAGACTTGGAAATGATTAAAATGTGCCTGGATAATGGTGCACACATAGACCTGATGGAGGTAATTATTCATATCCTATATGGCATTTATTTTTTTGTATTTTTAGAGGTTTTGCATTAGGGAACATGGGCTTGCTGGAGAAAGAGACAGAGACAGTGAAAGGGAAAGTGAGAAATCACTCTCTTGGGGGGATGGACATGCTGCAATACCTTCTCCTTCATTCTCCTCCCAGGCTCTTGGGCATACACACACACACAAACACACACACCCTTCATGATATTCAAGCTAGTGGGTCGAGGATGCAAACTGTGGTCAGCCATGTCAGAGTCCAGCAACATAACCACTATGATATCTAGTAGCCACAGGCACTTGTATTTTAAAGTTGTAAATTATTTTCTATTTTTTTTCTGTGAGCTGTTCAAGTTTCTCATATATTCTGGTTATTAATGTATAGTCAGCATGTATTTTCTCCCATTCTGTGTGCTCTCTCAAATGCTGTTGATTGTTTCCTTTACTATACAGATTTTTAGTTTGACAGAATCAAATTTGTCTATTTTTGCTTTTTTTTGTCCATGCTTTTGAGGTTTTTTTTTTTTGAGGTTTTTTTCCCCCACAAATTCTGCCTGTACCAATGTCTTGAAGTGTTTCTCTAGGTTTTCTTCTAGTAGTTTCATAATTTATGTTTAAGATTCTTTATAGTTTGCTTATAGTTAATTTTTAAATGAAAGTGCTCACTTTTGCATATGTAAAAAGGAGAAGAGGACATTTCAAATTTCAATCTATGTAAAGAATTTTGAAAACTACCAAAAACAGTTGCATATGCATGTACGAATACAATAAAGAGTATATCCAGTTTAACTACCTTTAAATAAGTTAACATCTACCCTCAGAAAGTGATAATGCATGAATGTTGTTAGCTAAAAAATATTAAAGACCAATCATGAATGTATCTGGTTTTAGTTTTAGACTAAAGAGTTCTTCTCTTTTAAACAAAGGACCACCTAACTAATTTTTAAGGATAGGTATGTGAAAGCAGTGATTGTGCTTAAATTCTGACTTTATGCCAGGCATATCTATCCAAAAGAACAGAATTCTGGCCCTTTTCCCTTCAGTACCTTGGGGTTTTGGTACAATATGCTCTCTTCCTAGCTACCAGAAAGGATTGTGCTTTCTGAGAAAGAGAATGTTGGTTATTTTAAGGTCTTTGGGAAAGTCATGATGTATTTTTATATGTTCTTCTATGCACAAATGCATTATGACTTTCCTGACAACCCAAAAGTTCACATGGCTTCTGGACGCTGCTCCTTAGTGTAGCAATATAGAAATGAAGAGCTGCGGGACCAGCAGTTAGCGTAATGGCTATGTCTCTGGACTCCCAGGGAGTCAACTGTGATTCGAGTCTCAGACCCGGTGGCTTAAACTCATGCTGGGCACATGTGCCTATGTGCCCAAGATCCTGAGAGGAGAATGGAAAAGGGATTGCGGCGTGGCCATCCTCCCTGAGGGGGGGTGATTTCTCGCTTTCTGTCTCTCTGGCAAGCACATGCGACGTATAGCAAAAAAATTAAAAAAAAAAAAAATGAAAAGCTGCTACTTTTGGTATGGGCTCTGAAGTCACTTCAGGTACCGAGGGCTTCCAGGAATGAATGAGATATGACCCATGACCCTATTGGGGTAGGGAATGGTAGATAATGATAGTGGAAGTATGTGCCAAGAATGCTCAAATTGTAAAGAATCACAATTACTGTGAGTTTTATATCGATGTTTTTCAATAGATGAAACTGATCACCATTTGTCCTCTTAAATCTGATATTCCTTGATTATTTTGACCCCGAAGATGAAACTCATAACTCAGTTTAAGTTATACCCTTAAATTGGGGTTTAAACATTGATTTTAGTATCGAATGTCTTTATAGAATGGGAAGTGCACACCCCTTCATTTTGCTGCTACCCAGGGAGCCACGGACATTGTTAAACTTATGATATCATCCTATTCTGGGAGCAGTGACGTGGTTAATGCAGCTGACGGAAATCAAGAGACCCTGCTTCACAGGCAAGTTTCCTCCCTATCATTATGTACATAGATTTTTAGTCACCAAGTGTTAAATTATACTTAGAAGAAAACGTTAGCAAGGATCCTATAGCATAGTTTGAAAGAAAAAAAAAACAGAGATAAAAACTCTGTGGTTCAACTAGAATTGCTATGTTCCTCAGAAATCAGAGTAGGATAAAAGCTTGATCAATTCTTCCAGTAGACATGGGCTCAAGAATAATTTCCTCTATGCTAAGGAAATCAACATGCAAGGCTTTGCAAACCCTTTCTAATTTGTTCCAATGCTTCGTGTATTTTACCTTCAGTATTAGTGAGGACAGTGGAGCAGAAACATGTGGATACTCCACCTTCCCCATCCTTTTGCTTACCCTCACAATTACACGTAGTTTCAAAACATATTTTTGGAAATTATAACTAAGTTGCCAAAAAGGTAAAAATGTTTGCACGGTTTAACAGAAACACACATCAGGGTAATGTCTGAAACTGTAACTTTACTAGGAGAGGAAACAGGCAGTGTAGACTGGGAGGTCAAGTTCTTCAGAAAAACATAGACTAAATGCTTCAAATGAGAGTGAAAGAAGAGGCTGAGATAAGTCTCTCCTCTCTCTCTCTCCCTCCCATACATACATACATACACATGCATGTACACGCACACACATGGCTGTAAGTAGGCCAGAAGACAGAACGAAAGGAAAGAGCTAAGATACTCCTAGTAGGTAACTACTCCAGGACATCTACAATATGAAAGGAATTCAAAAAGTTTGTGGAAAATGGAATTGAAGTATGAGTAATATTTTGGTAAAAAATTTTGTTTTTAATTCTGCAGTTTTTTCCATAGGTATTTTTCATGAACATTTTGAGGACTCCTCTCATATCTCTCAGGGAAAAAGAAACTCTAGCTACCAGTATAAATCTGCTTCTAAACTGGGGAGGTGAAAATGAAAACTAGCCAAATTACCAGCCAGGAAAGAACACATGTGAATAGAAAAGAATGCCAAGACAGTCCCACTTGAGATGAGTTTGCAAACTGAAATTTTGTACCATAAAGGACAAGTAATAGAAGACAATCAAGTCAACAAAAGGCTAATTTACTTACAAAGAAATAAAAATAATAAGGCAATCAATAAATCATTTAAAAATAAAAATATCTTTAAGACCTTTCACAAATTTAACAAAGGTTAGGGTTAAGGGTTAGGATTAGAGTAAAAAATTAAAAAAAGGAAAAAAAAATGAATGATCAATTATGTAAAATGACAGGAGATTGTGATAAACAAAAGGGCATACATAAATCCACGATTAGTGCTATGTAAATGGAGCTGATAGAAAAATAAACCAAAAAAAAAGCCATTGAAATAAAACAAAAACTCAAGAGACAAACTAACCTGTATATCATAAATGCTCAAACTACCGGGCATTAGAATCATGTGGGGAGGGACCAGCAGTTAGCATAATGGCTGTCGCTGGACTCCCACGTAGTCGACCGTGGTTGGAGTCCCGGACCCGGTGACTTAAAACTCACGCTGGGCGCATGTGCGTGCATGCACAAGATCCCGAGAGGAGAATGGAGTAGGGATTGTGGCATGGCCATCCCACATT